GTTCTCGGTAAACTAATTATAAGCACCCGGGTTGAAGTCGCAGAGAAAAACAGTATTTCTTCAGAAATATATTAAAAAAAATTCAGAAATTCTTCAGAAATTAAATTTATTATTAAATTGGAAACTTTCGAAAACGTTATTCGATACAAACCATTTTTTCCATATTTTTATCATAATTGCCGATTTTCTAATTAGCAACCTTAATCAATTTTTTTTGTTGCAAAAAACTGTGTTTTTAGGTTGTTTTCAGCTGATTTTAAAGCTGTGGGGCATGCATGAATTTAAAAGATATATATTTTTTTCATATTATTACCAGAAATTGGGCGCTGAAGCCTTCAAACTACCAACGCTAACTGCGTTTTTATGTTGTTCTTAGCAGATTTTTATCTGTAAGGGATGCATCAGTTCGCAAAACAAAGGTTTTTTTTTCCATATTTTCACCAAAAAATGCCGTGTTTCCATGCAAACTTAGTTGCTCAAACCTTTCAGCTTCAACGCCAACCAATATTTTTTGCAAAAAACAAACTTTTACGTAAATTTTAGCAAAGTTGTTATATTTTAAGCTATTTTGCTGCTTGTTTCTCTTTTGTAATGACACGTAAAAAAAAACTATCAAATCAAATCGAAACGATGTAAGAAGTTTTCCAGTTGTGCTTCCGAACAAAAACAGAAAAAAAACATAAAATAACCGTAATGTTACAGATCTAGAACAGTACTGACACATTTTGTTCCGGTGAAAAACAGAGTAAAAGTCTGATTTTGCTCTGATTCAGAACTGAATTTTTTTTTACAACTGTTGTTTCACTTGAAAAAGACTGATAACCACTGTGACTTCAACCCGGGAACCACTGTGACTCCAACCCGAGCAAAACGATGAATTTTGGGCTGAAAATATCAAAATTTAAGTGCTGCAATTTGATTCATATATGGAATCAATGAAACCAATTAGCCGCCTCAATTCAATTTGAGCGATTTTGTGGAGCAGGAAAAATCATCTCGTATAAATTACAAGCGAGCAGTTTAGACAGCCTTTTGGCAGGTTACTATACTGGTGTGCACACCTCGCTGCGCTAATTCAGACCAAAGGATCGATTCCTGGGAAACAAGAAATTTTATCAAAATTGTCTGAGTTAGAAAAAAACTACGATCCTGTATATTACTCACTTTTTTCAAAAGTCGGAACAATAATCCATAGAAAATATCCAGTTTTCTTTTAAGGTTTAGCTTAAGAAAAGGAACTTGTGCGACTCGAAAATTGTTCCAAATGGAGTTAAGGCAATCTGAGATGTTTCTATTACCATTTTAACCGAGCGTAAAGTTTCTGTCTTTTTCGAAAACTTTGTCATCAACAATTCTTTTGCTTAGGTTGAATATAATTTCCCTGAATGGATTCATAAAAAAGAAATTTTTTTTATTCTTAAGTGACATATGGTGGTATGGTAGTCTGCGCGTAAATGGCGGGGTGCGGTGGGTTAGTGGCGATGTAAGTGGCCACACTTCAAAACAAAACTCTCGGCGTTAGAAAAATAGCCCAAAAATGACGTTTTGACGCATTTTGTAGAGCGTTTCGATAAAAAAAATTGCGACGTTCAAATTGAGATCCTGAAGGGGTTCAAACGGGAGAGTTAAGTTTTGCGGAGCGAGTGTCAAGTGAAGGAAGTAGTAGTCGTGGAGTAAATGAGGGGGATATCCCAAAAAAAAATTGGAGAAAGAATTCGCTGCTAAAATTTTTAATCTGTTCCCATAAGTATGACACGGGGGTGTTGCTGACGCCCTTCCTTCAGGGATATGCCCCCTTTGTACTATTTTGAGATTTCCTTTTTTGGCTGATAAACCCAATTTTTTTTCCAATAAATACTAATTTTGGCCTGTTTTTCAAAACTTCGCCTACGGCGAAGAAAATTTGGTCAAAATAGGGTCTTTATAGTGATTTTTGAAAGCTCGGAAAATCAGTTTGGTCGAACTAAAAAAAGTCAATAAAATTTGAAAAGTTTTTGAAAATCTGCCTCACCCTCGAGAAAATCCTAGATCCAATTCTGCGTTGAGCCCAGTTTACTTGAATTTTGATAAACACTATTTCATTATATTTTGAACAAGAAAATGTACCTGAAAGGTTTCGAGAAGCACTCTGCTCGAGGCAAAAATTTTCTGATCATGTAGCATGGAAAACAAAAATTAACAAGCTAGAATTGTTTATCAAACAGTTTTTTTTTAGTTTTTTTATAGTTGAGTCAGTGGTAATTGAAAAATTTCGAAAAGTAAAAAAACTTAAAACGATGCAGATAATATTAAAAAATTTTATTACATGATGTTATTTTTATGCTGCAGTGAAAAATGCAAAATTTAATTCAAGTCTTCCCGCAAGCTTTAAAAGCCTGTACTGTTTATTTGAAAGCCACAAAACTTTTTCATCGTTCAGAATACCCCCGAAAAGAGGTGCGTTATTAGGCAAAGGCGTGGAAAAAAGAAAGCACAGCTGTGTGCTAAAAGGCAGTGGGTTTTAATTGCCACCTTATAACATTATAACATGCTCTTGAGTTGGAGTTTGTCGGCAGTGGAGTTTTGTTAGCAATTATTCGTGAAGCCAAACTTGAAATAAATGCAATGCATTGACTGCCGTCGAACAAAATTTGTCGCGGAAAGGGCAAAATATTGTCGTTGGAAGTTTTTTGGATCAAGTCTTAATACCACAATAAAAGGTCATAGTGATATCATAATCAAACCCTTTCAGTCATGATACGGTAAAAAAATGGCAGAAATTGTCTCAAAAAATGGCATCAACTCTCATTGGTTCTGTGTTTAACCTAACTCATTAACTAATTTAATCATTAATATGAAATCAACAGGGCATTCAGAGTAAACAATTGAAGCAAAATTTCTCAGTTTGTTTTGATGCTTTTTAAATACGTATATTTTCGATTTGCTTCATCTGAAGTGTTTTGGTAGTAGCACTCAATACTAATTTAACTCTAACCTACCTGGATTTCTACAGAAAAAGTCATGCGTGGACGCATTGACCGAATTCGCCGAATTTATCAGAGAGGGATGGGACAAAAAATTGGTTGGTCAATCATGCCTTGTTGATCTCAAAAAAGCATTTGATACCATGAATCATGATCTTCTTTTGGCCAAATTGGAAAAAATACGACTGTAGAGGTCGGATTCATTGTCTTCTGAAAACTTACTTTACGAACCGGTTTCAATTTGTTCAAACTGGTAAAAATATATCTTCCAGGCGCTCTATGTCATGTGAAGTACTGCAAGGGTTAGTTTTAGGTCCCTTTTTGTTTTTAAAATATATAAATGATCTTCCGAAAATTGCTGAAGGATCTGAGGCAGTTCTATTTGCTGATGATACTACAAAATGCAATGCAGATAAGAGCTCCTTGAATAAAGTGGAAAGATGGTTCAAAACGAATGGACTTAGTAATGATGTTTGGTAGTAACTTATCAAAAGTTACTTTGCTTTTGATATTTCAGTTCAAATACAAATGTGTAAAAATGTTGAGGCGTTTTTGTTGATATGAAACTTACTTTCAAATTTCAAATTGCAAAAAAAATAACAAAATTTTGTAGCATTGTCTGGAAAGCTAGTATAACTTTTCTAAACAGCAGATGCTTCGCTTTTACATAGCATACAAAATTCCTACAATCTTTCATGGAATTTTAATATACGGCAATACATCCCTATCTCACCTTACTGAGATAATGAAATTACAAAAAAGAATATTGAGAGCAATTTTTTTCAAACGTAGATATGAATCAATCAAGGTAATTTTGAACGAAAACAAATTGCTTACTGTTTTCGATTTATACTTTTGTGAGATGTTTAAATACTTGTTTATGGAATTGCCATCAAAAAATAAATGGTTTTCTGTCTCAGCTTTACAACGAAAAAAGTGGACCGTGTACCAGGAGCAAAGCGAAAGGCGTAATTAAAGTGACAAAGTTTTTTACTACCGCTAAACAGAGATCGCTTACAGCAATAATTGTGCAGGCTTTTAATTATTTATATCAAAATAACTTGATACCTGTTAATATACATGAAATGTCTCAAGTTAGCTGTTTGAGAAATAATCTTTTTTTTTCTAATTTATCTAAAAGACAATCAGGACCTCTATGAACTGTTTTTTAACTTCAGCCCTTAAATATTTTGATTGTTGAGTTAATGATTGCTCTCTTCTCTTTACTCTTCAGGATATCCTACTCGATGAGCAGTACTGCTCTTTAGTATATCCCTTCAGACATAATATATTGCTTTTGGCATGGTATATGTAGCAGGTAGAGTAATTCAAATTTCAAATGGTTGTTTCTTGATCTCAAAAATTAGGAATGTTTTTCTATAATTTGAGCTACAGTATGAGTCAAGCTCTAGTTTGAGCCGATGTTTTTGATTCCTTTCCGACTTTTTTCAACGTTCAACCTTCAGTCAGAATTATTTTAAACTTGTTTATGGGCAACCTATAAAATGATTACGCTAAAGTCATCCACACCAGATTTTCAGCAGAGCTCGAAAATAACGATTAAAAAGAGACCCAGAAACTTCTAGATCGAGCAAAGTCACGACATATCCATTTTGAGTCTCGATGGTAGGCACATCTCTATTTTGGGTTGTGCAATGTCACTTCATACCCATTTGAGTCGCAATTATTGCATCATACCCGTTTTGGGTCCCGATGGTCGCCACCTAACCATTTTGGCCGCAAGGATGGCAACATACACCCCCGACCTCGGCCCAGGTTTGAGTTTGGGGCTTGAGTTTGAGAGGTGCAGTTGGTGGATTTGCACAAGAATTTTGGGTTAGGAGGACAATTTATCACGCACTATCGCATTCGTCCTTGCACTTTTATTGTCTTCGCAGAGGTTCGGTTACACGATCTGATGTTTTGAAGGCAAACGACTTGTCAGTATGGAATTAAGTGACTCGTTTCACTTCTTAATAATGTTACAAACTTAATTTTTAATTTTCAAATTGAGAAATAAATTGACAAATTGCGTTTTATAAATTCAATCATGAGTTTCCTTTTTTAGAAACACTTTATTTCGAGTTTCTGATCACGTGCGTGACATAGCGAGGGCGCTGACCTCTCTAGCCGACTGGGAGATAGCACAGCAGGTGCAGCACACGACAGCTGCCACATCAGAAACACATCCACCCTCTATGTTCCGATTAGATCGCACCTGCAAAACAATCAAATTATAGAGGCACTCTTAAAAAGAGGGAGAGGTTACAAAAACCTTACGTACCCGTAATTCTCGCGCAATCTTATGCAGAGGTTTTTTCCTATTTTATCCTCCAGTAAATTATCGCCCCCCCCCCTCCCTCCCCCCATTAACTCCCTCTCATGACGCATATTTTCAATGGCCACTAAAACAGTCGAAGAGATCCACTCACTCATTATGATAACTCGAGACTTAATTCAAAATGATATTTTTGAGTAAGATAAAACAATACTATTACTGTAGTGGGCTGATAACATTTTGATCGTGAGGCGACAATTCGTAACGGGCGACAATTCGTCAGAAGCGACAATTCGTAACAGAACATTAAGCGTTGAACACTGATTCACGCGCAGTGTTCCTCTCGTGCAGCGGAGCAAGAGTATTCTTTTTACGTCGCCTGTTACCAATTGTCGCCTGTTACGAATTTTAGCCCTTCCCATTTAGATACTAGGCGAGGGCGGGGGAGGGGCTGCAATGTGAAAGAGAAAAACTATTGAGACAAACCAATGATTTTCCCCCATCTTTTAATCGGGTTTTCTCACCTTGCCTCTGACTGATGCCCAGCTGTAGACGTTGAGAAGCGGGATGCCGGTGAGGACGCAATGGAGGAGACAGATGTCGCCCACAGACTCCGCCGTCTTTCCTGAATAAAACCAAAGTTAAGTTCAGTGACAAGCTGGAGTTTAAGTGTCTCTTTCGGTTTCTCGGATCCCGTTCAAAATCAATTAAGGTTTGAACGGTTATTTGCGGTTTTGTCAAATCTTCTAAGCCTTGTTGAAGTTGGGCAGGAAACCTCGACTCGAGTAATCTTGACCCATGCCACTTTTGTTGGGCTGTACTGTGCAGTTTGCAAGTTACCAAAATTATTTTACGCCTTTTTGATTTCAAATTTCAACCCCTTTATTGGCACTGGCTGTCAGCCTGTCAAGTAACTATCACATTACGTTATTTTACGTACCAATCAGATCTTTTAGATCATCACTCCAAATTGAAATTGAAGAAGTAAATATAAACAAACGCCCGTTAACTACTCTACACACGGGCGCAACGTATAAAAAGTTAAACTGCAGTTGAAAACAAGAATAAAATAATTTTTCCATATTTTTGATTTTGCTTGAAAATCAGTCTTACCCTCGTAAAAATCCGTGGTAATGTTGTAGATACATTGATGCTCGTAAGTGACATACTTATAAGGGTTACTTGGATGTCTATCCCATCATCCTCATTACTTATGAGGATGATGGGATGGATGTCCAGCTATTTTACCCAGTATTTCATCGACGGGTTTTGTGACCTCACAGCATGTGATTGGCGCACCAATTCGATGTTTTTAACAAAACCCATCAAGGCTATGAATTTTCTCGGCAGCTTTTCGCTCGCGCATCTCGACCCCCATGCTGTTTGTTGGCGTTCAAAATCTATTAAAATGACTCACCGTGGACATAGCATGGCACAATAATGGTCATGATGCATGTTTTTATGTCCTCAAAACAGCCGAAGAGACTACTGGTCCACTCGCTCATTGTTAATATAACTCGATAGTTATTTTATTATAGTGAAATTTGATATTTTAAAGCTTTTTTGATACTTTCGGTTTTATAAATGTTTAGGGTTATACTTATGGGATTAAAAATGAAATCGGATCATGAAAATTAAAAATTTTTGAAACAATATTTTTGCGTGCTTTTGATATAATTTTTGCCTTTCTTTAGATGTTTTCAGGGGTGAAATATGATCGGAAGGAGGCTGTAATATCCAATAATACTAATGTAGGGTTCAAAGAGGTGAGTTTATTTGAAAAATGCCTTTGGATCAGCGAAATGAATTTTCAGCAGTCTTTTGAAGTTAATTGAACAGCCGCCAAAAAAATTCCAATATTTCGGTAACAATTTCCGTTTTTTTTCTCAGGTGTGTTCAAAATATATAATCAATTTTGTACAGCAATGGGGCTATAAATGATTGGAAAAGTGTGTTTTTGGAGTACAGGTAGCAGCAACTATATGGTATGCGTAATGAATGAATGATTCCCCGTTCACTTATCAAGAGGGACTTTTAACATTAATATAACACCATTTTATTCGCCAAGGGTTCTATCATGTTATCTATGTTGTTATCTTCACTTCAGCCTAACTGATAATTAAAGAAGAAAGTCATCGCAACCTAAAATTCTCCACAATATAAAATATTATCCATAAAAGTTTGCTATTACTTTGATGAAACTCTTGACCGGTTTCGAACATCTATGTGTAAAAACTTTTAAAAGTTAAACAAATATTTGATTGGAATTTTTTTCTTAGTTAAATTAAATTTTTTCAATTGCTATTTCATCAAAACATTATTTTTTTGGCTACAAAATACTTCGGAATATTGGGCATGACTGTTACCAATCAAGTTACAACCCTCTGCTTGTTATTGGGCTGTTATAACAGTGTTTTATTACCTGTCCCCTCCAATTCTGGCTTTAACGCGTATATAATGGGAATACGAGCCCCTCTCCATTCCCAGAGGAAGATTCACTTTTAGTCGTTCACGTGAAGTGGGAAAAGTGACAGTAGAATGGGGGCTTAAAACAGGAAAAAGCTGAAGATTACAAACCCCGAGGGTGTAAAATTTCACATCGAGTTTACTGGTTTATCAATCAAGCTATAAGCTATTGGAAATTTTGAAGCGGAGGTATCAACGTATAAGAGCACAATTTGGTATTTAATTTTATGGAAACTCTTAATGATTTCGTTGTCTGGTGTAAACAAAAAATAGAATATACTTTTTTAATAAAGAGTGACAATTTTCATTGGGCTAGTAGTTTAAATAGGTTAAACACATTTTAAAAGGCACTTTCTTGTGTCAATTGAATCAACAAAGCGGAGTAAGACATTATATGTTTGAATCATTTTTCTAATTGCCCTGGTCTTAGTATGTTGCTTCTGATTAATATTTGAATATTTGATGAACACTTGGATGAATATTTGAAGTTATTTTTGCAATTGAAGTTTCTCGAAAACATAACATTATATAGCTTTGGGTCTAGAATCATGAAATAACTTTTTTGCAAATGCTTAATACCCATTTTTAATGCCATTAAAAATAATTGAAATATTTGTCGTAAAAGTTCGGTATGATATTTGTCGTCGAAATTTACCTTTACTCATTATTCCGACAATCCCCTCATGGGTGGAAAAGAGCTGGGTGGAATGGGGGTAGGGCCTGTTTTTTTTCAGGAGGATTTCGGCACTTCAAACAAGCTCGCAATGGGTCGTAGGGGAGTGCTATCATTTTACAGCCTTTTCAGCCATGATTCGGAACGAAAAAAAATTCAGAAAACTCTCTGTTGGGATGTAATTGTCTAAATTATCACTGATTTTCCCCTTTAACACTAAATTAGATAATGACTGGCAGTAAATTAATTAGAGCCTGACGTCCTAATCTATTTCCCTAATGTTTTAAGCGCTATATTAATGAATTTTAATCTTTGGTGCATTTTTTGTGTTGTATTTTATTGTCAATCAATGAAGTCAAAAAAAACTGTAGTTGCATACCAAGTAATCAACTAAGCTACCCTTGCTCATGTGTAGTGAGATAGGGACCAGTTTTGAGTTTATGTAAGTGCTGTCAATTGTTTGAGATAGGAACCAGTTCTGAGTTTATGTAAGTGCTATCAATTTGTTCCTTCTGTCTGGGGACCTGCTGTCGTGACCTTGCGATCTCTAATGTCCGATGTGATCTGAAATAAGACAGTGCAGTAAGATTTCGATTTGATGCCTAACAGTTGACTACAATTACACTTAACAAACAAACCTTTTTTCGACATTATACATTTACGAACTTCAACATGGCGCAGCCAGCAGAGAAAAGAGGCGGGGGGAAAAGTCCACTTAAAATAATATCATTTTGGGATGCACGAACACCGGAACCTCCAGTTTACTGGGAGGAGGGGATAGTTAAATTTCACTGGGGGATGATAGCAAAATACGACATTGATCCCGATGATTTCTATTTTGCGAGTACTTTAAATGCGGCGGCTATCACGGCGTTGCCTGAGGAGGTCATTGGGAAAAACCATCTCGATTCGGAAAAGAAGTTAAAGTCTAATCTATAACTTTGTATTCAAGACGAGGCGCAAAGGATATTCAAAGCACAAAAACCGGCGGTTAATGTTAAAACAGTACGTTACCCACGGGTCCTTGACGAGATGCAAGATGTTTTTCAATGTGAGCGGAATGTAACTCATGAAAGGGGACTTTTCTACGGATGAAAACAACGTGAGAATGAAACTTTCGAGAAATTCCACGCGGAATTAAGCGCCCTAGCAGGCAGATGTGATTTTGCCAATTCGGCCGAAAATGTTTGTGATATTTTCATTATGAATATGCGGGAATCGGATTGCCAACGAGAATTATCACAATCAACAAAGTTACCAGAGGAAGTCTACAGGATCGCAATATCGTATGAACGTGGTGAGCGCGCATACAAATCAAATACTGGAAAACCAGCTTCAACAGCGCCGGCGATTCCTATAAAACAGGAACCGGCCAATAATATAAGAAGGGGACAAGGATTTTTCCGAGGTCGAGGACGCGGGGGACGTGGAGGATACACCCAAGTATCAAGTAGTGAGGGAAGCGGCAATAACCGTAGGTGTTATAATTGCGACGCAACAAATTTTACCCTTGACCACATAGCAAACTGTTCTGCAAAGGGAGCAACATGGAACTCGTGCCGAAAACTGGGACACTTTGAACGAACATGCCGAGGAATTAGGAGGGGTACTAACCAATGGAGAGGACGAGGACGAGTCGGCTTAGTCAGAGATGAAAATGAGCACCATCAGAGCACGCAGAATGTTAATGATTTGATAGAAGATCCAGTGTCGTGGGTGAACCAGCAGGGAAGCGGGGCAAATGAATCTATGACGTCAGAATCGGACAATTACATGGTAATGTCAATAAAAAGGAAGAAGAATGAAACTGAACTGAAGATCCCTGGGGCCCGAGTCCAGGTTGAGGTGTCAGGAAAGAAGAAAAGAAGATGTGGTTGTGGATAGATAGCGGATCCCCAGTGACGATTTTCAGCATAACGGACCTAAATACAACATTAGGTAAAGCGAATCTTCAGCTACAATCTTCAAAAGATGAATGTTTTTGGATTATAATAACAAACGAATAAACATACTGGGAAAGGTGGCAGTGATGATGTCGTTGAACGGTTGGGCAGCACCAGCACAAGTGTCAGTATTATCCGGAAATCATTAGTCAATCCTGGGGCGTGATCTGATGGGCACCCTAGGCCTCGAGTTAGTGCAAAGGAAGAAAGTGATGGGAATCACAGGGGAAGGGAGCAGTCAAGAAGAGGAGGAATATGACGAATTGCAAACATATTTCTGTAAGTTGTACCCAAATATATTTACTAGAATAGGGAAGATCTGGAACGCGAAAGTAAGAGCTGAATTTTTCGAAAATTTGAAACCCATACAACAAAAAGGGCTCAGGGTGCCTATCAGTCTACAAGACAAGGTAGATAAAGAAACTCATCGGCTGATAAACGAAGGTCATATCGTAAATTACAAGAGTGCTCGGATAAGTATTTCGTCTCTCCTATAGTGATTACTGGAAAAAAAAGACGGAAGTATCAAATAAACACTGGAATCAAGAGAATTGAACAAGCAGGTACACAAGAATAAGTACCAAATGCCGAATTTTGCGAACTAGTAGACGGAATAAGTCAGATTATTGCTGAAAGAAAAGCGGGGAATGTACAACGTTGGACTTCCCATATGCGTACGGACAAGTTTCATTAAAACAAAAGACAAGCGAGCAATGCAATTTTTTACTGGTCGTCGGAAATCCACGAGAACTTATCGTTTTAAAAACGGATTTTACGGGCTTACGTCAATGCCGGCGGAATTCCAAAAAGTCATTGATAATTTACTTCAGGAATTCCCTCAAGCTGACGCGTTCGTCGACGATATTTTCATTGCTTCAAAAAAAACTAAGATCGAGAACATTGCTTTAGTGGAAAAGATATTGAAAAAACTGGACGTTTCTAATGTCACGTTAAAATTACGAAAATGTGAATTTGCTAAAACCGAGTGCGAGTGGCTCGGATATCGGATCGGGGAAAATGGCATCGCGCCTCTAGTTAGAAAAACACAAGCGATAGAGGACCTGAAAACCCCAAAATCTCGAAAACAGTTGAAGTCTTTAATGGGTTCAATGCACAGTTTACACAAATTTTTGCCTAACTCGCGGAAGTAAGCGCACCATTAGGACCATTACTAAGTCAAAATAACGATTTTGTCTGGACGCCCGTTTGCGAAAATGCGTTCCAACAACTAAAGTCGCTCGTGGAAAACATTGTCGAATTACGACATTTCGACATTTACCGTGAAAGTAGAATTATTTGTGATGCTAGTCACGATGGCCTAGGGGCCGTATTAGAACAGTATTGCGCCTCCGGCTGGCATCCGATTTCGTTTGCATCCAGTTATCTTAATCCGGCTTAGAAAAAACACTCTACCAATGAATTAGAATTACTCGCGGTAGTGTGGGCCACGGAACATTTTCAAAATTATACATATGGCCGGTATTTCACGTTTATATCGGATCACAAGGCACTACTTTTATTGTTAAATTCTTCACCGAGGGGAAATAAAATGTTTTCAGCCAATTAACTCAATGGTACGATCGACTAGTGCCATATGACTTTAAAGTTGAACATAGACAGGGGTCAAAAATGGGAAAGGCAGACTATTTGTCTCGGTTTCCGTCCGCAGAGGCACCTGAGACAAGTCATTATGATGAAAGTTTTACAGTAGCGAAAATAAAAATGATAAACACAGCATTGAAGCCTGAGGATCAAATGAAGCCTAGGGGTCGGAAAGTGAATAAAATAAGGCCAAAACCGACGGTAGAGGGCGATCAGTCATGTTCCGACACAACGAAAACAGTTCCATCCAATGGGAATGAAAGAAAAGATGAATATGCAAATATTCACCATGAGCACAAACACTCAACAGAGGGCGTGTTTACATGCAACCGGTGGTTAACCAATCAGAATCGAGATATTTGCATACC